ATATTTCCCCATTGTTCCATGATAAGAACTAGAGAAACATGAATGTTACTAACAAAGATACTTGGGTTATAATCTTTAACATTAAAAGTGCAAGTGTTTTTTATGAGCATCCCAAAAGAAATTAAAGACAACATGAAAATCATACCAGTAAAGACCAAGTCAAACTTTTTTTTAAAGTAGAAAATATCTTAGCTTTTATATAAATTTATTTAATTAAAAAGGGCAAGAATACATGCCATAGAAAAACATTTTAAGACCATTAGACTTATATATTTAAAAAAATATTAATAACTTTATTATTATTATTATTATTATTATTATTATTATTATTATTATTATTATTATTATTATTATTATTATTATTATTATTATTATTATTGTTATTATATTTTGAATTAAAATACAAAAAATAAAACTTAGTTATCATGAATAATTTATAAAAATAAGTCGAATTTTTTTTTTTATGAACAACGTCATAATTTTTCTCAAATAAATAATATCACAAAAATTATACTATTAGATAAATTCAAATAAGTCATATAAATAAATATTTAATTTCATTTGTTAAACTATTTAAATATTAATTAATTTTTTTATTTAAAAATATTCAAATAAAATAAACTTTTAAATATTCTAATGAATCCGTCCATCAAAAAATTAAATTTAAATCTTGAAAATAAGTCTATAATATATTAAAGATCATACTTAAGTTAGATTAGATAAAGTCTAATTTAACTTAACTTATTTTCACCCTTATTTGAGGGTGTACTATTCTTAAAATCTCATATTCAAATCTTATTAAATACAAACAATATATGAATTCGGCTAATTAATTTTACTCGGATAGACAACTCATTAGATTAGTCGGTTTCACAGTGGAATACCAAACTTTAAAAAATAGTAATAAAACAAAACATTCAAAGATGCTAAAATTAATTTGCTTCTGTCCAAAATTGAAACTCAAACATAACAACCTAGTCTATGTTTTCATTTTCTTCTTCCCTAAATCCCTACCCAACCTTGTCTGCCATTTTTTTCTCTTTCTTTTAGATCCGTTGTTACTTTACCGTCGTTTCCCATACTTCTCACATCTCAACTCAACTAGGTCAGCGCTAGTCATCTGGTTTTGTCACACCTTCTGAGCTGGAACACACATATATTTTTCCACGTCACCAAAACATTCATTTTCTTACTTCACTATTCACTACAGAATCTTTGTTTCTGCTGTGTTCCTACAGTTACAACAATGAGTAATAAACATCTCTAATGACCAAAATGAATTATAGAAAACTAAATTTTTTTTTTTTATGTAAAATCAATTCTTCAAATATTCATGCCCTACATTTTTCATCTGTGATTCCATCCAATAAATTAAAAAGCAGTAATTTAGTATGAGTGTATTTTTTATATGATACGAAAATCTTTTTTCCCTTTGAATCCCAAACTGGATTTCCTTGGACACTTTGAAGACTCCTCAAAGCCATTAAATTGAAGAACACATTCAATTCAATTGAAATGACAACTCATACCTGTAACACTAATCAATGATAACTATACTATTTTTGTTATCACTTCTATATTTTATAACTCACTACTTCATTGGGCTTCTCAAAGTAAAATAAAGTTTTGTTTGACATTTCAAAGTTAGAATATTTAAAACAAGATTATATATATATATATATATATATATATATATATATATATATATATATATATATATATATATATATATATATATATATATATATATATATATATATATATATATATATATATATATATATATATATATATATATATATATATATATATATATATATATATATATATATATATATATATATCAGATAAACTAGTAACAATTATCTTTTTGAGAAATTATATTGAAGGATTTCTTACCCCGTCTCATGTTCTTCTAAAATTAATTTTCGGTGTAATTTTTTTTTGGAAAATTTGACTTAAAATCCGAAGTATATTTTCGATTTTAAACTGGTAATATATTTTCGATTTTGAGAGTCGGCCTGTCACCCTCGAGGCGTCCCTCAGCTGCCTTCTGTAACAGAGAGTCTCCTGAGCTTCTGCCATGATGGCATCCAAAACACATCTAACATCAGATCCATCAAGAAACAACCCTCTGTTAATATCATCATGCGCAAGTTCCATGATACGACGACACCTAGGCAACACGTCATGAGCATGATCCCTCTTAGTCTGCTCCTCCTCTAGGATCTCCTGATGAACTGGCCTCGGTGGGTTCTCTGGAGCATCCACTACCATGTATAGATGAGACACCTTGAAGAACTATATCATGTATCCGTACTCGTAAGTCCAGTCGTCTGGTGCTACGGTACTTCTGGCCTCATCAGAAACATGATGATTCTCACAATCATCAAACATAGTGTTGAGGGGAGATACTAGGAGCATCGATACATAGTGTATGAATAAGCACCTTTTGTGAGAGACACACCACTTGTTCCTCCGTTTCACAATCGAAGGAGCAGATACAGCAAGATCCCGATAAATGGTATGGGTAAATCTGAACAGATGCATCACCTGCTCAGGCATCTAAGCAGCAGTCTTGTGAATCCCGCAAGCCAACCAACATGTAAACAACACAACCTCGTCAAACGGTATCGTGACACGGTGGTCGACGTATGAACTGAAGTGAATGTCCTCATGCACCAGCCGGTTAATGTAAACCTGAAATGAATCTATTGCCTGGTTCCCTCGGAGCGGGTTGTATGCACAAGCACGCAACTTATCTTTAGTATAACTCGTAACATATGACTAACCCGAGATGTGGGGGAAGTGCTGTAGGATCCACCCTTGAAATAACAAAATTAAATAGTTAGTTCCGGAATAAAAATAATTAACAAAGGTCACAAAGACAAAGAATTTATACCGTCATGAGTGACATTTTGTCGGTCATCAGCTTCATATCCCAATTAATGGTGTCATCCAACTTGGTATACAAGTAAACCAAGCAAGCAATCTCCCGGTTCCACTGGTTGATCGTCTCAAAATCATCAAAGTACTGCATGTACATGATATCGGTGTAAGTGGCACTGATGTCCATAAAAATCTATGTGCCAATAAGATACAAAATGTATGCTCTCGGCAAACCCCCTATGAATGGTAACTTGCTCGGGATCACCATGAGCCTCTCGTGCACGCATAATCTCATATGCGAACACCCTAGACAAATAGCTATACCTGATGTGGCAACCACGGGTCTTATCAATTTCTCTCAGGCCACTCTCAGGGGTAACTCCCAACTTCTGAACCAACAAATCCAACGCCTCCTCTTTGCTGATCCTATCATAATCCAAGAAAGTCCCTCTGATCGGAAAATGAAGCAGACACGTGACATCATCGAGTGTGATCATCATCTCACCATGTGGTAGATAAAATAACGATGTTTCATGGTGCCACGTCTCAATAAAAGTGTTGGTCATATCCCAGTTGACCACGATGTATCCACACAAAGCCAAATCTTTCAATCATGTAAGCCGTAAAAGCTCGTCAAACCATGGCTTAACAGGCGACACGAGTCTACTGATCTTTCGCCCATGGCTAATGACCTTGAGCATATCACGTTCCTGCATAATAAAATTCAAGTCAAAATTCATAACAAAATTCACAATAAAATTCATAATAGAAATAAAAATGCAAAATTCATACTTGTCCGTCCCAGATATGTCTAGCAACATGGTTGAGATAAAGAGGCCGAAGTTATAAATCAGACAGTCCTCCTCCAAAAGCCCGAGGGGCCGCAGGTGCAGGTTGAGTTGGTGCGGCCTCAAGTGTCGCTAGTGCGGCCTCAGGTACCGCTGGTGTAGCCTCAGGTGCCGCTGATGTAGCCTCAAGTTCCTGGGATGACTGAGGAACCGCCTTAGGTGGCGTCTGGGGCTAAGGTTGTGATGATGTCTGGGTCTCTGGTGTCACCTGGATACCGGATGTGGATCCCGCCTCAAATACGCTAGGTGAGGAAGTGCGTCTGCAGGAGGACAGAGGTGGCGAAGGATGAACTGGAGAATCTCGCCTGCTGCGGAAGGACGATGTAGAAGGAGTAGAAGCAGACACACCAGAAGCTGAAGCAGTAGGAGATACATCTGGTATGGCCTGTCTAGAGGCAAGAGAAGGTTGAGTTGCTGTAATGGGAGGGAAAGAGACAACACGTTGTATAATTCCTCCAGAAATCAGAAGTATATTTTCGGTTGTAAACCGTAAGTATACTCCCGGTTTACATCCAATCCTTCCAACATAATTCATGTATAACATAGTGCAAACTAGAAATATACTTCTGATTTTGAAAAACATTTATAGAATTTCATATGGTGTGTAAGAAAGTCATATGATGAATTAAGAAATTATCATTATATTAACACTTTTTAAACATTGAATACCATATATATTTATAAAATATGTATATAATTTTGATTTTTTTATCATCTCTTTTCTTTTCGGCATACATATATCACATCAATAATTACTAATAATGCATTTTTATATAATGTTGAAATACAGTGTCAATTTTTAAATATTCAAATAACACTATTCTATTTTTTTTAAATAATAAAATCAATCGTCTAAAAAATTATATTTTTTATCTTAGAAAAGACATTCTTTTTATATTAATAACTCTTTAAAAATTTCAAATAAAATAATATTGTTTAAAAAAATTAATAATTTTAATTTCTAATTTTTTAAATATACAAATTTAAAAATACTTACTTTTAAAACTCTTTAAAAGTGCTTTAAAATACTGGTTAACATTTCTCTTAATAAAAAGTAATACATAACCATATTATTGGCAACAAAATTGATGGTTTGAAAAACCATCCCAAGATGCACATACCATAACTTGAGAGAACATACAATATATAGCATATATTTAAATAATAATAAAAAGTGATGATGAAATACTTATTTAGCAATAAAATAAAAGGTTGAAACAAAATATTTATTATTAATAATAAAAATTGAATGAAGATGGATAATCAGGAGAGTGGGGCCCTTTGAGGAGCACCTTTTCTTCTGCTACCAAGAGAGAGGACAATGGCAGGAAGAGGGAGGAATCTATTGTTGCTGGTGGCCTGATCTTCATTGATGATGGAGTAATTTGAAGAACTTGGGCCTATTTGGTTGTTATCTTCATCAATTACCTCAGATCCTTCTGCTCTTAGTCCCTCGAATTGCGATATTGCAAAGTCTGACTCATCAAATCGATGTAAAATGTTCGACAAACTTTCACCCTCGTACACCATGTATTCTACCTGCAATTATGTCTTTTTTTTATCAATAAATTACTCATAACATAACAAATTGCTTATCACTGTCATATATTTCTCAAACATCTAAAGTTTTGAGACTTTTTTTAATATAAGTGTTAAATAGTTAAATATAACGAAACTTAACTATTTAGTACTTTATCAAATCACTGAATACGGTCAAGCCAACAGTGTTCTAGAAATATTCTGAGAATTTTAGATAAAAAAGATTATTTAAAAAAAAGTTAATTATTTCAATTTTTAATATATGAAATTTAATGTATTAAATACTCAAAATAAAAAAAAAATATCATTTTTTTTAATCCTTAAAGAATACACTCGTTAGTATATTCCAAAAATATATAAAATATATAGTAGTTAAATTTAGTTATTTAAAAAACATATTTAATTGTATACACTAACCATTTAAAAAGCATATTACATAAATAGTAATTATGTCTCATCACATATATTTAGTAAAAAATCACTAAATATTTTTTTGGTTAACATATTATAAAAATAATTGCAAAATTACAAAATTATTATTCCATCCGTTTCAAAATAAATGCCGCGTATTTGTAAAAAAAATTGTCCTAAAATAAATAAGAGACTAATTTTTCACATTGCAAATATTTTAGGCAATCTATTAGTCCATAATAATTATTAAAAAAACTTATTTTTAATAAGAAACTAATTTTATGCAAATCAATTTAATTAAATTACATCAAAATACTACTGTAATTTATGATACATTCGTGTATTGAATTATTGTTGAGGAATGAAAGTAGTTAAGTTTGCTTTTATAAATAAAAAAATTACATCATAATACTGCTGTAATTTATTATATTATCGTCTAAAATATCTCTAACTACTTAAATAATCTAATATTATTTGTCTATATGTGCAAAAAAAATTAACAGCAACAATCTTTACAAACTAAATTCTTGTAATAGTAAAGATAGTATAAAATTTTAGCCACTACATATTTCAATGAATTTATTTTGATGGTGACTTAAAGCTGTGAAAGTAATAAATAGTTTTATGAATTCTATAAATGGTAATTTCAAGTAGTTGGAAAATTTAATTTTGCCAAACAGGGGTCCTCACACAATTTGAACCTGTCATACTCATATTATATCATCCTCTATTATTTTTTCCCAGTCCTTCTCTCCGTTCTCACCTTTTGTTTACCTGTGTCCTTCTTGGTTCTGAGGTTTTGGTGTGAACAAAGCCTAAACATACAATAATTCTAGTTCTAATATTAATTAATACTCTTTCCTCCATCTTAAATATAAAATCTTCTCAGAAAAATCATAACAATTACAAAAGTGTATTATTTTTTAAGTTAGTTAAATTTTCATTATAGATTGAAGACAAAATATAATATAACTAAGAATGATCACTATGGTGAGACATTATTGGATGACTATGTAAAAGTGTATTAAATTATAAGTTCAAGAAATTATTTTATCACTACTTTTTTTATGTATACAAGTGTTATAAGTTTTTTTAAAGCTAAATGTAAGTGTTTTCTATTAATTTCTATAAACATTATTGGTATATATTAATTTCTATTAATTTATTAGCACAATACTATTTATGTTTAATTGTAACTTTGATCTTTTTATTTAGCTTTTTCTTGATTTTGATCGGCACATTTTAAAAATTATCATTTTAATTTCTTTTTTAAGTTTTCTTTTAAATTTTCGTCCTCTCAATTTAAAAATCATGATTTTAGTCAATTGTTTAAGTTTTAAGTTGTAATTTTAGTCTTTTTTTTAAATTTTATTTTGAATTTTAGTTCCTTTTTCATCATCACCAAAATTAGAAAGAGGACTATAATTGTAACTTAAAACTTAAAAAGAGATCAAAAATCATAGTTTTTAAAATGAGGGAACGAAAATAAAAAAAAAAAACTAAAATAATAATTTTTAAAATAAAAGAGTCATAATAAAAAAAAAATAAAGAACCAAAATTACAATTAAACCTATTACTTAAAATAATATTTGATCTTAGTAACTATACTGGCAATAAAAATTATTGGCATACAATGATTTCTATTAATTTATTAGCACAATACTATTTGAAATAATATTTTATCTTAATAACTATATATATAATTTTTGTCTTTTAATTCTTATTTGATATAATAAAAATTTCAAAATTAATAATATGAATAATAATATAGTCTTAAATATAATATTATAACAAATTCATATAATAGATCCAATTTAGTGGGATATAGCTTGTTGTTATTATTTTTATATTAATATTTGTTTTAGTTATTTGTCATTCTTAAATGTTGAATCTTAATTTTTTTTTTTATACATAAAGTTCTTATACGATATATATTTGTTGAGAAGCTTTGCACATTATGTTGTTCATTTTCAATTTCTTTTTTACAATAATTTTCACCTTTGTTTATTTATTCTTTACCATAAATATATTACCATACAAATATTTTTAAAAATAATATAGTATTTTAAAACTAATATAAGAAATTTATCTAATTTTCTTCCTTCATTTATTTTTATACTACTTTATAGCTTTTAAGTCTCCAGTCAACTTTAAGTTAAGAGGTTCAGTTCTCAACTAACTTACCAGTTTTAGTTTAGCAAGAGAGGATGCTAAGAAATAAATTAATATCAACAAAAATGAACAAATAAAAAAATTGTGACGTTGTAGAGTAATATATTTATATGAATCAAAACTAGATACTATTAAATTGGTTAATTAAATTGAGTACCAAAACAAGAAAGAATAAGATAGAGAAATGAAAATTAAAAAGAACCTTGCATGAGAGAGAACAGAAATGGAATGGATCCTGAAGAATTCTGTCACAAGTGAAGCAAGCATTGGCTGTAACTTTGCATGACCTTGATTGTGGCCTCTGATTTAAAAATATCACTTTCGCACTGTTAATAGTATAGGGCTACAATCAAATACAAACATTAATCAATAACTTTATAACCAATAAATTAATACCTTATATAATTATTATCACACGTTAAATTTATTGATCTTGATACTATATAGTTTTTTCTTTATATGATTTTTTCTAACCTGAATATTGGAACAATCTATAAGCTTTTCCATATCATCCAATCGAATTACATTGTGGTAAACATACCTTCTCACCTGCATCACACAGTCAACCAAATGTTACAAATGAACTCAATAGTAAACAAATAAAAAGAAAAATAACTTTCCATTCTTATTTATCTCTTAAAAATATGAATAAAATATTCATTATTTTTTACCATTAATCTCTCATTATTTTTCATATAAGAATGTTGAACCTTGACATAAATTTTGTCTTAAATGAAACACAACAATATTTTTGGGAGAAGCAAAAGTAAAATTGAGAGGATTTAAGTTGGACAACCAACCCTTGGTCATGTAGAAGGCTTCAATAAATTCAAGAGCAAAAACAATTAAATGAAGTGTGAAATGAGGAATAATTTAAATAGAAGTGGTGGGTTCTTGTGCAAATTAAATTATAATTAAATAAAGGGACATGAATTGGGAAATCAATGGGTCAAACTTTTCGCTTTCAACGAAGGGTACATATGATAACCCTTTGCAGAAGAAAATTGGATAAAAAAGAGATGTTCTATTAATGGGAAAAAAACCAAAACCCAAAAGTAAGAAACAATCAAGACATATAGTGAACCCTTTTGGAAACCATATATAAATATACATAAACATAGATATGGGTAAACACCAAATACAATGAGACAATGCTGCTGAATTTTCATTACACAATTATTTACCACTCTATACCTTCCATATAGCATTTACATTTTTTTTATTTGTGTAATATGATAATTATCACTTGAAACATATTATTTTATTACATTTTATATATAATTTTATTTCAATTAATTATAGTTAAGAATAATATTTTCACAAATTCTAACAATTTTATTTTTGAAACCAATTAAATTAATTATTTTCTTTTGATTGTGTCTTTCTTTAATTAAAAATATTAATTCCTTGAAATTAAATATAAGACTAAATTTTGCATATGAAAAACTATAATTGATCATATTTAATATATGCAATTCTAATAAAAAATTTAATTCAATTATCTAAATTATTCTCCATGAGTATTGATAAGTTGATTTATTGAAAATATAAAAATTGAATTAAATGAATTATATTTTAGAATTACTATCATTAAGTAAATAATAAATTAGTTAATTTCTATTTATTTATAATTTATACCAAAAAAAATTGAGACAAAATTTGTTTATAATTAATTGGGATGGAGTATATAGAAAGAATCCAGCAGAAACAACCCTGAAACCCCATTAATTGACATAAAATTGGAAAGTTTTCTAAAGAGAAAATTGCATGGACCAAATTAAACCCCAACAATTTTAACTTGACAACATTTTTACCTTCTTATTTCTTCATCTGAATGAAATAAAAAAAATACAAAGTTACAGTACTTTTTCCCCCATAATTCTTCCCAGATTGCAAGAATCCATTAGAGAGATAATTTGAGTGAAGTGTTTGTGGATTAAAATTGTTACCAGTATGGTTTTACAACAATTACATGTGAAATTGCTTTGAAATTCACAAACTGATTAAAACATCTTGAGCTTTCCAAAAGAATTAATAATATTTGTACTTATCAAAAAAATAAAAAAAGGATTAAAAAAACCTTGAAGCTATCACCAAGGTAAATCCTCCAAAATTGCATGTCAGAGAGAAATTATAATGAAAGAAGGTCACCAGAAAATGAATTTAAAAAAGAGAATTTTTAATTTAACAAATCAAATCCAAAAGAGATCTAAAAAAAAAACTCTCAAAAGAAAAAATTTCAAAAAGTAAATAAATAAAAAGCCTAGCTATAGCTAGTTAGCTAGGAACAAGTGAAAATCCAAGAATCTCCAAATATCCATGAAAAAACAAAAGAACCTAAAGATAACAGAGTGTTCCACAACATGAAAAGATGAACAAAATAATTATTTCCAATTACTACTATTTTAATCAATTGAAATTGACAAGATGAAAGACATAAAAAAAAAGTTGAAAATTAAAGTAATTAATTAAGAAAGAATAGTTGAAAATTGGAATAGTAATAATAATTGAAAAAATATATAATACCTGGAGAAGAGGATGAGAGGTATGAGAAGATAAGCAGTGGGGGCAGATGCTAAGACAACAGTGTAAGCAAAAAATGTTCTTCTCGTTCTTCCTTCGATTTTTGTGGACCCCACAATCACCAAAGAATGTTTCATCCATCAACCTCTCTAGCCATGCAGGTTTCATATTCATCATGTTCATGTCTATGTCCATCTCTCCACCACCTCTTGATGATGATGATGAATATATACTACTTCCCATCATCATATCTCTCATCATATATAATTCTTTCTCTCTCCCTCTCTCTCTCTATATATATATATATATTCTTGAAACCCTAGCTATTAGCTAGGGTAATTTTTCAAATATATTTATTGGAATTATGAGATGAGATGAATTTGGTTTTGTGAAATGGTTTTTTAATATATTTTTTGGGGGTGATGATGATGAAGAGTGATGAGTGATGAGAGTGATGAGAGAGTGAAAGAAAGTTAAGTATATGAAGAAGAAAACCCTAGTAAAAATATAAAACACAGGACCTCTCTATTATTCTGGCTATTTATAGAAGAGAAAGGTAAAAAAGAAAATGTTATTGAAAAAAGAAAGAGAAGAAATAATAATAATGGTGATGATGTGGTATAGAGAGAGAGAGAGAGATGAGTTTTAATTTAATGGCGGGAAGGAAGAGAGAGGCCACCACACACACCAATATGTACTGTCTGTGGATACTAACAATTTTTTGGTCTCAGTAGTCATCTGATCATCTGAGCACTCCACTATGACACATTCATTTATTAAGGTCTCCCACCTTCACATTTGACCAAATGTCCTTCACTCTTTTCTTTTTTTTACAAACTATAAATAAACAGTGTGTTTTGTTTGATATCTTTTGGTCTATTTGGGTAAATGTTTCCTAGTTTTTCTTTATAACCCTAACTTATTTACGCACACCAAAATCAATATCATTCTTTCATTTCAAATCAAATATAATTTGAATTGAGACCAACATTAGTCCCATATATGTGCTGTTGATCATATTGAAAAGTATGTCTAAATAACATTTATCATAATCTTTGGTATGTAAGGGAAGATGTTAAAGCTTCTACAATGTGGCCAATAAGTGTTTGAATTTCAATTGAAAGAAAGTGTCCACATATATAGTGTTTCTCATTAAATTCAATAAGGTTAAATTTAATGGAGAGAACAAATGAAAAAATTGATTTGTTTGCATCTTTTATTTATCATAATGAATATATTTTGAGGATTCAATGAGGACGATCAGGAGCAGAGGATGTATTTCTTTTCATTTTTGCTTTTAAATTTATTTTTCATTCTGATTTTAATCTCAACCATCAAAATTATTTTTCATTCCATCTCCAATCTCCACTCTGTTTATGCAAATTCCAATAGTTACGGTAGATACACAAAAATATAATAAAAATTGATTACTTTTAATAAATTTAATAGTAAAAAATGTATAAATTAATTATCTATAATAAGTTTATCATTTTAAAATACTTAATTCATGTTTATGATAGTTTTGATCACCAAAATATTAAACTTTAACAAATTTAAAATAATCATTATAATATAGACAGTATTAAGACTCTATGGAACATAAATATCTTCACTGTTGTATCTCATTTATATATTTAAGACTCATTTTTAAGGTCAATTTTGATGAAAATATGCACTATTAAATGAAAATTGATATATATATATATATATATATATATATATATATATATATATATATATATATATATATATATATATATATATATATATATATATATATATATATATATATATATATGAATCTGTACAATTTAAATAAATGTGTATTTCAATTCTCTATCGATAATAAATACATACATGTGACCATTATTAAAATATTATGTTTTTAAAATATAAATTGCATCTCATAAAAAATTTATTTTAATTATATAATTTATATTTATTATTAAATTAATAATTTTGTTAAGTGATATTAATACTCGTTTGTATTGTTGAAAGAGGAAAAAGAAAATTTCAATAACCATCAATTTTTTTTTGAAAATATTAATATCTATATCTCCACTTATATAAGATAATATCATGATAACAATATAGCATTTTAGAATTATAATTGGACTAAACTCAATTTTATAAATTTAATTTTTTAGATAAAAATTACGCTCAGTTATAAATATATGTTTGAAACACATATTATCTGACGTAGGACTCTTAATATTTAACATAAAAATGATTTAAAATTGTTACACCTGCTATTTAAAAATAAAATAATTAAAATAAATAGTATAGTAATTTTATTTAAGTAAAATAAATATTGATATGTTTGTAACTATCATAAATACAAAGTATATAATACTTTGAAATTACTAATATACATTGTATTATGAATTATAATATATAATTAAGAATATAAATAATAATAGTAAAAATAATTTTGTTTTACTAGTATTTATTGTGAAACGAAATGAATATAATTGTCTGAATTTATTTGGAGTTCTCTATCTGATAGATGGGACAAGGACAATGGGTCCTCTATATATGCTTTGGACATGGTACACTTTACAGCATTCATGAATGGCAACTCTAAATGATGAAGAATGGGTTTTGCTAGCTCCTTTGTGTAAAATCGACCAACAAGATTGGTATAGTGGATGTCCTAGGAATTTATTTTAACAGCAGAATATATCTTAATAAACAAAAAAGAAATATAAGATGTACTATAGCTTAAGAGTGTGTGTACATGGAAACTGTTTTAAAATAAAGGAATTTGCTTAACAATTTTTTCTTATCGATCACATAATATTGTTAACAAAAGTAAATATACAAAAACATAGAGAAAAACTCTTTAACTTAGGATTTCAATAGAATAAATAAAACTTAAAAAGTAAAGGTTATACTAGAGTAGAAATATTTAAAAAATAGGAAAAATCGAACTATTCTTATAAGAATATAACAAAACAATATAATAATAATTATAATTATAATAACCAACATCTTTTCTCAAACTCAAGATGCATTAGCTGAGAGTATCGAGAGTTTGTCAATCATAAAGTGAAAATGTTTAAAGGAAATATACTTGGATTGTGAGAGAAGATAATCTCTAGAAGAGTAGGCAACTTCAATGCTCAAGAAGTAGAAAAGAATGCTGAAGTCCTTCATCTCAAACTGTTTGGCTAACATTAATTTCAAATAATTAATTTCATCCATATCATCATCTGTAATAATCATATCATCAACATATAATGATAGTAAAATACAATCATGATAAGTGGTCTTGACAAACAAAACAAAATTATGATCACTAGAGCGAAAGCCAATAGATGTAATCACAGTAGTAAACTTCTCAAACAAAGCTCGTGGAGCTTGTTTCAGATCATATAATGCCTTATTCAACTTACACACTTTTCCTTGATTATGAGAAACACCTTCTGGAGGTACCATATAAACTTTCTCTTTAAGATCACCATTTAGAAATACATTTTTAACATTCATTTGAAAAATATGCCACTGACGAACATATGCAACTACAATAAGAGTGTGAATAATAGTCATCTTGACAACAAGAGCAAAAGTTTCTTCATAATCCATACCATATTATTGAGAGAATCCCTTAGCAATAAGACGTGGTTGTAGCGCTCAACTGATCCATCTGACTTAGTTTCGATCTTGTCTATCCAACGAGACCAAATAACACATTTTTTAGGAAATGTTGGTTATTATTATTATTATAATTCTTATTATATTATTTTGTTCAAAATCCAGTAGCAGACAAGCTTGAATCATCGCCAAAATTCAATCAATTAATAGAGAAAAAATTATTGCTCCAAGCCGTAAAAAAAAGTGGACCACCTTAGGATAATTCGCAAAATCAAATCAAGCTTTGATACCATATTAACATAAGTGAACATACAAAAACATAGAGAAAGACCCTTTGACTTAGGATTTCAATAAAATAAAAAACTTGAAGAGTAAGGGTTACACTAGAGTATAAATACTAAAAGTTAGGAAAGATCGAACTACCCTTACAAGAATATAAAAAACAATATAATAATAGTTATAATAATAACAACTAACAAATATAAGTTAAAGTTATTCGAAAAGAGCAGAAAGATAATGGTGTGCGTAAACAGACTCCGACCAGTCTTTTTTTAAAATAGAAAAGACCTAGATTTTTTTATAAGTTTATTTAGCTAAAAAGATTTGGTCATGAGCCATATAAAAGTTTTTTTAGTCTATTAGACCGACCTACTTAAGTAAATATGAATAATTTTAGTATTATTATATTGTATTTTGTATTTTAAATTAAAATATAAAAATAAATCTTAGTTATCCTGAAGAAATTATGAAAATAAGATGAAAAAAAAATCTTATGAACAATGTCATAAGTTGCTTTCATAAGTTCTCTCAAACAAATAGTATCATAAAAATATAAGGTGAATGAAACAAGTTAACTCAAGAAATCTTATACTATGAGCGTGGTTCACAAATGATTTGTGTTGCTATGAAGAAAAAATATAAGGAGGGTGAAGCTAAAGTGAGTGCTACAAACTTTTGTAAAAGACCCAGAATAACATCTAATCAAAATTAACACAAGTTTATAGCTCTCACTTCAGCTTCATCGTCCTTTTATTGTAGATGTTATTCTAGGACATATACGCTCATGAAACATTTTATGAGTTGATATGTTGTTGTTGATAAAAAATATTTATTTTTAGTAATAAAAATTGTATGTTATTTATGGCATATTGTTGATGATTTTGTTGTTGTTAATAAAAGTTGTTTGTTGTATCTTGTATATTGTTTTAAGGATTGTTGTAGATGAATGTTGTTGTTAAAGTTTGTTTAGAATATGCATTTATTATATCTTATGTGATTTGGTTATTTTTTCCAATCCCTTATAGAATATATAACTTTTAAGATTGAATTATAAAATTATAGTATGAGATATTGAGTTATATTAGGAAAAAATTATACTTATCAATGTTATACAAGATTTATTCAGTCTATTGTCTGTATTTCTCTCTTTAACGGTTATAACTTGGTTTAATACTTCTATTTATTCGACCACTCATTCCTCCACCTCTAATTTCATTTGCAAAGTAAATAATATTTTGCAAAATGAACAAGAGGTGAATTAATGAGAGATTGAAGAACTAGGAGCATTGAAGCAAAATTTAATCGTTAAAGAGAGAAATACGGATAATGGACTGAAGAAATCTTGTATAACATTGATTAGTGTAACTTGTTCTTCTAATATAACTTAT